CAAATTCATGCTCAATAGATCTATATTGAAAGAATTAACAAATGAATAAATGAGCTCTTCCAGAGGGGAGATCAGAACTAAAATGCTAATAATTGGCTAATATTTTATTTTATTTTATTTTATTTTATTGTCCTTTTTGTCTTTTTTTCGTGACCGGCAATGGATCGCAACCCTCAGTGTCGCGCCCGTACCGGACCGGGACCGGCAACGGGATCGCAACCCTCGGTGTTGCTCCCGCACCTCGCTCAGCCAGTGAGCCGCCAGTCTGTATGTGGGATCCAAACCGTCGGCGGGAGCACCGCCGCGCTTCCCAAGCGGTGCACTGTAGCAGTGCGTAATTGGCCAATATTTTAAACCTTTAACAACAAAATTCCTTTCCTCCTCACTTTCCAGACATTCTTCAAATACCCCATCACCCAAATCCTTGCTGCACCATCTGTATTTCGAATGATTCTGCAGCAGAATGTCTCCAGGTATGGTAGAAGTGGCTGGTAACAACAGTCTTTGGGTAAGATTTTAAGGAATCTGATGCATTATGCTCTGCTATTTTTCCTCTGTTTCTTTGAAGGTTGTGTGTGTGTGTGCGTGCGTGTAAGTGTCGTGGTGATAATTACAATCCTTTCTAATTAATTAAACTAAATCATGACCCAGTAACTTGAAAGAGCCTTACATCATTGTGGTTTCATTAAATCATGGTAAATTAAATCATGACCCAGTGACTCAATGAGCCTTACATCATTGCGTTTTATTCTTTTTTAAAATTTTTTATTGTGAAACAAGCATACAGAAAAGCACATAAGACAAATTTACCGAGTAATGAATTGACAAGAAGAAAATGCTTCTGTAACTACTCATCCAAGTCACAAAAATAGAACATTGCCAGCACCTCAGGAACCTCCATATGCCTCCCCATCTCCCATAAAGGAAATCACTTTCTTGACATGTATGGATTTCACTTCCTTACTTTCCTTTATAGTTTGTTTCCAAAGAAAATATCCACAAGGAAATAATTCCATTTTATATGTTTTTGAGCATTATATGTGTAATCATGCATTATTCTATAATACCTGGCTTCTTTTTTCAATATTATCTTTCTAAGACATGTCCATATTGTTGCATATTACTGTAGTTTATTTTCATCACTGTATAATATCCCATTTTATGAAAATACCACACTTTTTATCAGTCCTGCCATGGACATTCGGGTAGTTTTCACTTTGGTACTGTTGGTGATTAATGCTGCCTTGAACTCTGGTATACATACCCTGGTGCTTACAAGCACACATTTCTATAAAGTGCTTCTAGTAGAGGAATTACTAGGTCAAAGTGGCAATACATGCAGCCACAATATTTTTCAAAGTATTAAACCAATTGATGCTCCCACTAGCATAGTAGGAGAATTTGCATTGTTCCGCATCCTTGTCAACATTTGTTATTGTCAGAGTTATTCATTTTTGTTAATCTGATGGATGTGCAGTGCTATCTTACTACAGTTTATTTTTGCATTTCTCTGTGTTTGAGGGTTAATTTTTAGCTAAACTGAAATCTGTTCTTTGGACCTCTTTGGCCACTTATGTATCTTTTAGAGACTCTGAAATTGAAATGGCTACTTAAAAAATCAGAGCTAACACAGTTTAGACATAGAGTTTAAAATATTGAGGAGTTTAATGACTACCCTCACAAACCAAACTCTGAATTAAAACTTGATTTTATTCATGAAGCCTCTGTCTCACTGGATTCTGTTTCCATCTGTATTTCCAATCTCATATTACATGTTTTTGCAACATTCTGAGGATGATGGCCTTTGTCCAAACCCAGTAGAAATTTTATCAGGGCATAATTAATGATGCCACCTGAGACTTTGTCCACTTTATGCACTTTGGGTAAAGCTCCAGAAGGATGAGGAAGACACCCTCAGTGGAACTAGCCCCCCTGCTCATCACTCTTGACTCTGTATGTACAGGAGAGGCTGATGAGGGTGGGAAGGTGTTCCAGCTGTTGCTACCTCCCTCATCCCCAAGAGCTGGCCAGGCTCAGTCCCATGCCAGGTGGATCAAACCTCAATCACTTCCCTCATTTTATTTAGGGAATTTAATCATTATTTTATGATTGTTTTGTACTATTTAGGAAGACCTCATGGGGAAAATGATGGAAAGAGTTTTCACCTCATGACGTACCTAGCCACCCAGTGCAATGTTCATATCAGACACTTCTCTCTTCAGAGAGATCTGAAATTCCTTCTCTCAGGGCTGCTTCCTGTGCCCCCCTCCTGTCTTTTCCCACACTCAGCCTAACCTTCCCTAACATCCTGAGCAATTTATTTCCAACCTCTAACTTTCATTTCCTACTCAGAAATGCAAAAACCTTATAGTTAGCATGACCCAGCATCTGTAAAGGTGGTATAGTTCTATTGTCACCCTAGTGTGTCACACTCAGCCTAACCTTCCCTAACATCCTGAGCAATTTATTTCCAACCTCTAACTTTCATTTCCTACTCAGAAATGCAAAAACCCTATAGTTAGCATGACCCAGCATCTGTAAAGGTGGTATAGTTCTATTGTCACCCTAGTGTGTCCCTTGGGGTTGTGTCCCTCACCCCTTTATGGTTTCTAAAAATATCCCTCTTAACCACATAGAATGCTTCCTTAAGGTGAGTTCTGATAAACACACTCCTATCCCTCTTGATATATCAACATCCAAATTTAATTAAAATTCCCTGACTTAACCCAATAGCCTCACAAACACACCCACCCCCTGCCAGAAAAGTTAACAGGGACTGACAGGAAGTGAGTGTCATCCACTTGGCCTTGACCATCCATAAAATGTCCAGAAGACAAATAAGAAAGTGAGGAAGCAGAGGATGAATTATCTGGATGACAAACCTGTGAACTCTGAATGCACTGAGCTGGAGTGGAGTGTCCATGGCCTGACACATTGCCTTCTCCTAAGTCTCAGGTTCCCCACCCTGGAGCACTGCTGCACTGGTGGGGAGGCCCTGCTGCCCGAGGATTTGGAGCAGTGGAAAAAACAGACGGGCCTTGTACTCCATGAGATCTATGGACAGTCAGAAACGGTAAGTAGACAGGTTCCTTCAGGGCCAGTCAGATGTGCTCTGCCACTGAGTTCAACAGATAAATAGAATCATGCCACACGTGTGTGCCAAGGCCCCACTGTGTGTACAGAATTGCTTGAATTTCCAGGGTTCTAGGCTAATCTTCCCCAAACTGATCTGTGCAAAAGATAACTTAAAGCTTTTCAATTCTTTGAGAGACCATTCTGCTCAAAACTGTCGAACAAAAACTCAAAAAGAAGTCTAAGGAAATTTTGCTTACCTTCTATATGATCATTAGCTCAGAGGAGTTCAGGATGGGTGGTGGGATAAGAGGCTCTCTCTAGTAACATGGAGACCATCGCCAGCAAGTGTCCCATCCCACCTATGGTGGTAACACACAGAGGCAGGTGGGAGCTGGCTCCAGAAATTCATTTCTGGATGTTTAAGAGGACAATACACAGGTTTGATTATGGGACAGAGACTTTCTGCATACACTAAACACGTACACTCACACAAACATACNCAGAGAGATCTGAAATTCCTTCTCTCAGGGCTGCTTCCTGTGCCCCCCTCCTGTCTTTTCCCTAACCTTCCCTAACATCCTGAGCAATTTATTTCCAACCTCTAACTTTCATTTCCTACTCAGAAATGCAAAAACCTTATAGTTAGCATGACCCAGCATCTGTAAAGGTGGTATAGTTCTATTGTCACCCTAGTGTGTCCCTTGGGGTTGTGTCCCTCACCCCTTTATGGTTTCTAAAAATATCCCTCTTAACCACATAGAATGCTTCCTTAAGGTGAGTTCTGATAAACACACTCCTATCCCTCTTGATATATCAACATCCAAATTTAATTAAAATTCCCTGACTTAACCCAATAGCCTCACAAACACACCCACCCCCTGCCAGAAAAGTTAACAGGGACTGACAGGAAGTGAGTGTCATCCACTTGGCCTTGACCATCCATAAAATGTCCAGAAGACAAATAAGAAAGTGAGGAAGCAGAGGATGAATTATCTGGATGACAAACCTGTGAACTCTGAATGCACTGAGCTGGAGTGGAGTGTCCATGGCCTGACACATTGCCTTCTCCTAAGTCTCAGGTTCCCCACCCTGGAGCACTGCTGCACTGGTGGGGAGGCCCTGCTGCCCGAGGATTTGGAGCAGTGGAAAAAACAGACGGGCCTTGTACTCCATGAGATCTATGGACAGTCAGAAACGGTAAGTAGACAGGTTCCTTCAGGGCCAGTCAGATGTGCTCTGCCACTGAGTTCAACAGATAAATAGAATCATGCCACACGTGTGTGCCAAGGCCCCACTGTGTGTACAGAATTGCTTGAATTTCCAGGGTTCTAGGCTAATCTTCCCCAAACTGATCTGTGCAAAAGATAACTTAAAGCTTTTCAATTCTTTGAGAGACCATTCTGCTCAAAACTGTCGAACAAAAACTCAAAAAGAAGTCTAAGGAAATTTTGCTTACCTTCTATATGATCATTAGCTCAGAGGAGTTCAGGATGGGTGGTGGGATAAGAGGCTCTCTCTAGTAACATGGAGACCATCGCCAGCAAGTGTCCCATCCCACCTATGGTGGTAACACACAGAGGCAGGTGGGAGCTGGCTCCAGAAATTCATTTCTGGATGTTTAAGAGGACAATACACAGGTTTGATTATGGGACAGAGACTTTCTGCATACACTAAACACGTACACTCACACAAACATACGCAGAGTGTGATCTCAGAGAGTCACTTAGTGCCAGGTGGGCAGGACATTTAGAGTATTACGCAAGTCTTGAGCATCAGGGACTTCATTGATGATAGTGGAGGTGGATGTCTCTCTTCCAACACATTGTCGATTCTTTTCTGATGCTGGGCAGTACCACTTTCCCCCACCTCCCCAGTAACCATCTCCTGAGCTAACAGAGGGGTGACTGCCATCTCAGGCCCTATAACAAAATGACTGTTTTAGTTCCAATCCATACACTTGTCTGGCAGGCAGGCAGGCAGGCAGGAAGGAAGGAAGGAAGGAAGGAAAGAAGGAAGGAAGGAAGGAAGGAAGGAAGGAAGGAAAAATTCAGTTAGTTGATTCATTTCCAAGCTTGGGTAATGTTAAGATTCTGAGCCTGTGCTTGAATGGCTTCCAGTTTAGATTGAGCAAAGAGGAGAGCTGGAAGAACAACATGCTATACCATGGCTCTAGTTCCTTTGCATCAACTATTTGCAACAGTACACAGTGCTTCATTTCTCAAAGCACTTTCACACCTATTCACTCATCTGTGCAACATTTTTCACATACCTACAATGTGAGTAGTGATATGGAAGACTGGAAAGAGCTTCCTTTCCCATGAGCTCAGACCCAGGTTCAAGTCTCAGTTCTGCCATTACAAGACCATAGGCCTATCACTAAAGCTCCCCCAGTCTCAGCTTTTCCATCTCTACAATGGAATTTACAATGCCAACCTTGCCAGATTGGGATAAGGTAAATGAAAGGACATATCTAAAGATCTGTCCAGTGTTTTGCCCATAGCACATGCTCACATTGCAGTTACTGTGGTCAGTATTGTTTTTTTGTGTGTGTGTGTCCGGCAGCGGATCGCAACCCTCAGTGTCACACCCATACCGGACCGGGACCGGCAACGGGATCGCAACCCTCAGTGTTGCACCCGCACCTCGCTCAGCCAGTGAGCGGGAACCAGTCTGTATGTGGGATCCGAACCCTCGGCGGGAGCACCGCCACGCTCTCAAGCGGCACACTGTAGCAGTGCGCCACCGGGCCGGCCCCTAGTATTGTTTTTAGCTAGGTAGTGTGCCAGACACTGGAAGAACAGACTTGAATGGAACAATTTCTACTCTCAAGATGCTCGCTATCTAGCGAGGGAAATAGACTAGCAAAAATAATTATAATGCCTTATAGGCTATGATAGAAGTAGAAGGAAATACTGTAGAAGGAGAATCTTTCAACTGACTTTTCTTGGGGTCTGACTGATAGCTAAAGTTGTCGTTCATTGGTGCGTTCCTCATGCCGTGCAGTTTTCCTGACACTTGCAATCATTCTGAGAGGTAAGTGTCACATTATCCCCCTTTGATGGAGGAGGAGATCAAGGGAGATTAATTGACACACAGTTAGTGTGTGGTGGAGTCAAGATTCAAACCTGGTCTGTCTGACTGTAAAGTACTCAGCTATGGAAAAAATGAGAGAACCATATTTGAGAGAACCATAAAGGAGGTGTAAAGTTCATCAGGAAGAAATATGGGGATGGCTCAGGTGTAGCAGAGAGAACAGCTGAACCATCTAAACCATCCCAGCACAGCCTGAGACAGAGTTGAGGCAGATTCCTATCACTGTTCAAGGACCCCAAGTATTTGCTAAGTAGACTCGTGGCCTTCCCCTAGTGAACTGGCATATGCCTGGCATACAGTGGATACTGCATACCCTACATTGTATGCCCACGCCCCAGGAGTTACTCCTTTTCCTCATTCTCTGTCACCGCACTGGACTCTGTAGACCCCACATCTAGCTCTTGCCCAGCCCATGTTGAGTGCAGCAAAGTCAGTGGATACTGCATACCCTACATTGTATGCCCACGCCCCAGGAGTTACTCCTTTTCCTCATTCTCTGTCACCCCACTGGACTCTGTAGACCCCACATCTAGCTCTTGCCCAGCCCATGTTGAGTGCAGCAAAGTCTGCTGAGTAGAGTTGGGTCAACACCTTGAGCCTGGGATCCAGGCCTTCCAGCTTCCCCACAAGGGCTCTTTGTGCAGCATCAAATGACATCCATGAGCAGGGGAGGCTGTGTGTGACTCTTGCTGCTGTCAGCTGAGCCTGAACTCCATGGCCAACCCCAATCCTCCTTCTTTTGTGAACAGGGAATATGCTGCGGTGTCCTCCGGGGAATGAAGGTCAAGCCAGGTTCCATGGGGAAGGCCGTCGCACCTTTTGACATGCAGGTCTGGTCTTAAGGGCTTTGGCAGGGAGAAGTTAGGGGTTGAATCATTGTGTGACACCAGATGGCAGAACCAGCCACCATTCCCTGACTTAGTGGTCCTTGCTCTTTCTTCCTATCTTTTCTTGGGTTTCCTATGGAGACTTCAGTTGAGAACTGTATTATCATGGGCACTAGGGTAGCCGAAGGCATCACACACAATGACTGGGAAAGAACACCTGGAGGTAGCACTGGCAGCTCTACCAGCTGGTGCTTTTCATTTTCCTTGATCAGCGTGTTCTAGTTTGAAGACACATCGGTGATGTCTACACACATAAAACAAACAGACCCTTGATTTGGGTTTTACAACTGCTGATTTCAAAGACTTTTGACAGTTCTATTCTACTTTCTGACCCATTCCTCCATCACTAACCCCATTCATCTTCACTGATGTCCTGTGAATGAGGCAGGCAATGCTTGGGTGGAGCAGAAGGTCTGAGGAGTCCTGCGGGTGGGATTCACAGGCCTCTTGCTCCAGATCATCGACGACAAGGGCAACATCCTGCCGCCCAACACAGAAGGAAACCTTGGCATCAGGATCAAGCCCACCAAGCCCATAGGAGTCTTCATGTGCTATGAGGTAATGACACCCCATCTGCCCCCATCCCGGCCCAAGAATCCCTGCAGGGAGATCTGCATTTTAAGTCTTCCTCAGATAGTCCATTATGTGCTCTAACTTAATGAAGCCTATTTTAATTAAACTCAAAGCTCACAGGGTGTTCCCACATCCCTCCTGTCCTAAACTATCTGGGACTTATGCGCTGACTGATGGGGTAGAAAGAAGATGGGCTTCTGAACCACCAGAACCACCACCAGGTTCCAATGATCTCCTGTAGTTAAGAATATAGGCTTTGACTGAGTTCAAACAATAGCATCCCACCAACAAACAGGTGGAAACAAATCCTCGCTGAGCCCACATGGAGTGCTATTATTTCTACTTTACAGAGGGAAAAACTGCAAATTATGTATCTTTTGTATGCCAAGTAAGTGGCAGGTCCAGGATCCAAATCCATATCTTTTGGGTCCCAAACCCTAAATGAGAAATTCAGGAATTACATAAAACTGGGACAGGCTATAAGGAAAACTACTGAAACTCTTGATCAAACAAATCCTAGGCCTCCCAGATTAGTAGTGGCCACAAAGAGGACATTCTTAGCTTCCAAGACTGGCCATGGAAAAGTGACCAGACCCTGAAATCGATCTCAGACTCCATCTCCTTTCTCCAAAGACACTTTCACTGGAAGCTCTCCTGGTGTCACCGCTGTCTTCGCACTGTGGCCTCCAGGGGGCGCTGCTGCTCCTATGATGCTACTGCCCAAAAGGAAATAATAGCAGACCTTAGCCTGAATTCACAGCAGCACACCTTTAAGGTTGGATTAAAAAAAAAATCAACCGTGGAGTAACATAATATATATTATACTCATATATGTGTGTTCAAAGCTTCCTGCACATTGGAATCTTTTAAAAAGATTTAAGAAAATATTGATTCTTGGGTCCAAGCCCATAGATTCTGGTTAAACTGAAATGAAGTCATCCAAAGTACTGGCATTTTTTTTGTTGTGCATGACACATTTTATTTTTCCACGAAGTCCTCACATATACCTACACCTATGTCTCCAATTTCACATGCTTTCATTACAATGAGATGTCGACACTCCTCCACTGAGGATTTTTTGATTTTTTTCTTTTTTGTTGAGGTAAAACAACATAAAATTTACTCTGCTCACCATTTTTGAGTGTACAATTCAAGGCATTAAGCAATTTCATGATGTTGTGTTACCATCACTATTATCCATCTCCAGAAAAATTTTCACCACCCTACACATAAATTTTGCACAGTTAAGCAATAACATCCCACTCCCTCTACCCCCAGCACCTGATAACCTCTAATCTACTTTTTGTCTCCATGAATTTGCCTGTTTTAGGTATCTCATATAAGTGGAATCATACATTTGCCCTTTTATGACTGGCTTATCTCACTTAGAATAATGTTTTTAAGATTCACCCACATTGCAGCATGTAACAAAATGTCATTCCTTTTTAAGTCTGAGTAATATTCTATTGCACGTATATATAAAATTTTGTGTATCTAGTCATCTCTTGGTGGACATTTGGGTTGTTTCCACCTTTTGGCTATTGCGAATAATGCTGCCTATGAACATTGGTTTTCAAGTATCTGTTCTAGTCATGGCTTCCACTTCTTTGGGGTATATACTTGGAAATGAAATTGCTAGATTATATGGGAATTCTATGTTTAATTTTTCAAGGAACTGCCAAATTGTTTTACACAGTGGCTGAACTACTTTACATGTGTACTACCAGGTTTTTGATCTATTTTTAGTCTATTTTTGTATGTGGTGTAAGGTAACTTTATTCTTTACAAGTGGACATCCAAGTTTCCCGGAACCATTTGTTGAAAAGGCTGTCCTTTCCCCGTGGAATGGTCTTGGCACCTTCATCTAAAATCAATTGACAATACATGTGAGGATTTCTTTCAAGGTTCTTTATTCTATTCCAAAGGCCTACATGTTTATCTTTTATGCCAGTACCAAACTGTTTTGATTACCATAGCTTTGTAGTAAGTTTTGAAATCAGGAAGTGTGAGTCCTCCAAGTTTCTTCTCCTTTTTATAGATTGATTTGGCTATTTGGGGTCCTTTGAGATTCTACATGTATTTTAGGATGGGTTTGTCTATTTCTACAAAAAAGCCATTGGGATTTTTATAGGAATTGCATTGAATCTGTAGTTTTGGTCAGCACTGTCATCTTCAATATTAAGTGTCTAATCAATGAATATAAGATGTCTTTCCATTTATTTATATCCTCTTTAGTTTCATGAATGTTTTATAGTTTTTGGTGCACAAGTTTTTTTACTTCTTGATTAAACTTATTACTGGTATTGTATTCTTTTTGATGCTATTGTAAATGAAATTTTGTTTAATTTCCTTTTTGGATTATTAATTCTTAGTGTATTGAAATGCAAGTTATTTTTTATGTATTGATTCTGTTTACTGCAACTTTGCTGAATTTGTTTATTAGTTCTAACAATCTTTTGAGTGTGCAGAATTCTTAGGGTTTTCTGTATATAAGATCACATTGTCTGCAAGCAGAGATAATTTTATGTCTTCATTTCCAATTTGGATGCCTCATTTCTTTTTCTTGCCTAATTGGTCTAGCTAAAAATTCCAATATTATGTTATATAGAAGTGGTGAAAGTGGACATTGTTGTTTTGTTTCTCATCTTAAGAGAAAATCTTTCAGTCTTTCACCACTGACGATATTAGCTGTGGTTTTTTTACATATAGCCTTATCATACTGAGGAAGCTTCCTAGTCTATTTAATGTTTTTATCATGAAAGGTTGTTGAGTTTTGTCAAATGCTTTTTCTGCACCAATTGAGACAGTCATGGGCCTTTTTCCCCTTCATTTTATTGATGTTGTTCAATATGTTTCCTTTTCACACGTTGAAACAGGAATAAATTCCACTTGGCCATGGTGTATAAACCTTTTAATACGTTTCTGAATTTGATTTGCTTGTATTATATTGAGATTTTTGCATAAGTATTTATAAGACATATTGGTCTGCAGTTCTCTTCTTTCTTCTTTGCCTGGTTTTGGTGTCAGGGTAATTCTGGCTTTTTAGATTGAGTTAGAAAGTTTTCTATCCTCTTCAGTTTTTTGAGAGTTGAGAAGGATTGGTGTTAATTCTTTAAGTATTTGGTAAAATTCATCAGTGAAGCTATCCAGCTCAGGCCTTTTCTTTGTTGGGAGGTTTTGAATACTAATTCAATCTCTTTACTATTTATTGCTATCCTCTTCAGTTTTTTGAGAGTTGAGAAGGATTGGTGTTAATTCTTTAAGTATTTGGTAAAATTCATCAGTGAAGCTATCCGGCTCAGGCCTTTTCTTTGTTGGGAGGTTTTGAATACTAATTCAATCTCTTTACTATTTATTGATTTTTTCAGATTTCTGTTTCTTTGTGATTCATTTTTGGTAGATTGTGTGTTTCTAGTAATTTTTCCATTTCATCTAGGTTATCTAATCTTTTGACATATAATTGTTTATAGTATTCTCTTACAATCTTTTTTATGTATGTAAAATTGCTAGTAATGTCCTCACATTTCTAATTTTAGTAATTTGAATCCTCTCTTTTTTTCTTAATCAGTCCAGCTAATGATTTGTCAATTTTGTTGATATTGTCAAAGAAACAACTTCTGGTTTTGTTTTCTCTATTTTCTATTTTATTTATATGAGCTCTAATCTCTATTTCCTTCTTCTGCTAGATTTGGGTTTAGTTTGCTCTCCATATTCTAGGTCCTTAAGGTGTAAAGTTATTGGCTTGAGAACTTTTTTTTTTTTTTGTCTTTTTCCGTGTCTGGCAACGGATCGCAACCCTCAGTGTTGCCCCCGTACCGGACCGGGACCGGCAACGGGATTGCAACCCTCGGTGTTGCTCCCGAGCCTCGCTCAGCCAGTGAGCGGGAACCAGTCTGTATGTGGGATCCGAACCCTCTGCGCCACCACACTCCCAAGCGGTGCACTATAGCAGTGCGCCACCGGGCCGGCCCGGCTTGAGAACTTTTTAATGTATATGCTAAAGACTGAATATTTGTGTCTCTCCAAAAATCGTATGTTAAAATCCTAACCCCCAATGTAATAGTATTTGGAGGTGGGAGACTTTGGGAGTTGATTATGTCATAAGAGTCCTCTTGAATGGGATTAGTGCCCCCATAATAGAAACTCCATATAGTTCCCTCCTTCCTTCCCCATGTGAGGACACAACAAGACAAAAACCATCTACGAACCAGGAAGTGAGCCCTAACGAGGCACCAAATTTGCTGGTGCCTTTGTCATGGACTTCCCAGCCTCCAGAAGTGTGAGAAATAAATTTCTGTTGTTTATAGCCACCCAGTTTATGGTATTTTGTGATAGCAGCCTGAAGACTCGGGAAGACTAGGGAAGAATGTGTGTACATTTCCCTCTTAGCACTGCATTTGCTGGGACCTATAAGTTTGGGCATATTGTGTTTCTTATTTCATTTATCTCAAGGTAATTTCTAATTTCCCTTGTGATTTCTTCTTTTACCTCTTGGTTGATTAAGAACATGCTGTTTAGGGGCCGGCCCGGTGGCGCACTGCTACAGTGCGCCGCTTGGGAAGTGCGGCGGCGCTCCCGCCAAGGGTTCGGATCCCACATACAGACCGGTTCCCGCTCACTGGCTGAGCGAGGGGCGGGCGCAGCGCCGAGGGTTGCGATCCCGTTGCCGGTCCCGGTCCGGTGCGGGCGCGACACTGAGGGTTGCGGTCCGTTGCCGGACACAAAAAAAGACAAAAAAAAAAAAGAACATGCTGTTTAATTTTCCACATATTTGTAAATTTTCCACTTTTCCTTCTGTTATTGATTTCTAATTTCATTTTATGTGATTGAATAAGATACTTGTATGATTTTTAAATCTTTTAAAATTTATTAATAGTTCTTTTGTGGTCTAATATATGTTTCATCCTGAAGAATGTTCCATGTGCACTTGAGAAAAATGTTTATTCTGCTGTTGTTGAGTAGAGCGTTCTGTACATGTCTGCTAG